GGGGGGGGGGGGGGGGGGGGAGGAGTGTGGAGAGGAAGGTTGTGGGGATAGTGGTTCCAAGAATGACCCACAGGGACTGGGAAGACAAGATGAATTGCATTTTGAGAGATGGTATCTTCTAGGACTGAGCCACATGTTTGGTGATGGTTGGGAGGAGATAGAAAGGGTATGTGACCTGTTTGAGGCATGATATCATTCTGAAATGACACAGAGGCTTAGTGAGAAGACAGCAGTGTTGGAAGGTATGTCAGGATGGTATATTCCTTCCAGAAATGAGCCACATCAGCAGTAGTGGAGTGAGTCAAGGAAAGCGGAGGTATGGGGGCATGGCATCTTCTAGGAATGACCCACAGGGGCAGGGGAAGACAATGCTGATTGGCTTTGGAGAGTTGGTATCTTCTAGGACTGAGCCACAAGGTTAGTAGACAGGGTAAGATAGGAAGGGTGGATGTTGTGTGGAGAGGTTGGTACCTTCCCAAAATGACTCAGAGACTTAAAGAGAAGATAGCAAGCCTGGATGGTTTGTCAGATTGGTATCTTCCAGGAATGAGCCACATTATCAGTGTTCAAAGTGGCAGGTGGGTGGAGGTGTGGTGGGATGCTGTCTTCCAGGAATGACAGTGGCAGGAGGAGACAGAGGGTGTATTGGATCTGGAGGGATGGTATCTTCCTGAACTGAACCACACAGGTGGTGGGCTGGGGGAGAGAGGAAGGGTCAATGTTGTAGCACAGTGGTGATATCCTCCCCCCAAGTGACCTGCTAGGTGACAGATTGGAAGGTTGCATGTTGTGGCAGGATGGTATGTTCCAGGAATGAGACCCACTAACTGGGGTGGAGAAGCCTAGAAGGGTAGAGAATTTGGAGCATGACATCTTCTAGAATTAGCCGCAGGAGTAAGGGAAGATGGTGGATTGAGTTTGGAGAAATGATGATTTCCAGGCATGAGTGAAATGAGTGAAATGATGATGAGGGGGAGATGGGAACGATGGATATTGTGGAGTCAGGTTCATACCCTTCCAAAAGGACCCAGAGGCTTAGTGGAGAGAAAAAGACCTTTGGTGGTTTGTCAGAATGGTTGTCTTCTAGGAATGGGCAGTGACTGGGGGGAGACAGAAAGGTTGGAGGGGTGGTAAGATAGTATCTTCCCAGAATGACCCACAGTGGCAGGGGAAAACAAGGTTGATTGAATTTGGAGAGATGGTATCTTTCAGGAATGAGTCACACTGGAGAAAGTGTGGAGAGACAAGAAGGATGGATGTCATGCTGAGGAGGTGATGTGATCTTCAAAAGACCCAGAGGGAAGAGTTTTTTTTTTTTTTTTGTAGCAGGATGCTATCTTCCAGGAATGAGTCACAATGGCAGGAGGATTCAGGGCCAATTGAATTTGGAGAAGTGCTGTCTTCCAGAAATGAGCCACACTGACAGGAGTGTAGGGAGACAAGAAAGGTGGATGTTGTGTGAAGGGCATGGTGTGATTCCCCCAATGACTCAGAGGGTAAGGGAGAGATAGGAATCTTGGATTGTATGGCAGGATGGTATCTTCCCAGCATGAGTCACACTGGTGGTACTAGAGGGAACAAGAAGTGTTAGGGGCATGAACATTCCAGGCATGGCCCACAGAGTCACAGTGGAAAACAGGTTCAATTTGGTTTGGAAAGATTGTATCTTCCAGGATTTACTCTCACAGGTGGTGGTTGGTTGTTGGGAAGAGATAGGATTGGTGGATGTTGCAAAATGTTAGTATCATCCCAGAATGATTCAGAGGGGTACAGGGGAGATAAAGTCATTGGATTGTGTGACAGGATGATATCTTTCAGGGATGAGCACACGGGGGTAGTGAGGGGAGGCAGGAAGAGTGGATAGTGTTGGACTTCCAGAAATTTGTCTCAGGGGTATAGAGGAGACAGAGTATTTGGTATGATGGGATAGTATTTTCAGGAATGAAGGGTGGTAAACAGCAGGGTTGGATGTTGTGGGTGTTGATATTATCTAGAAATGACCCAGCAGAGAAGCACTGAGACAGAAGAGTCAATGGTGTGGCAGGATGGTGCCTTTCAAGAATGACCCACAGGGGCTGTGGAACAAGAAAGATAGGAAAGGTTGGATGATGTAGGGAGAATGGTATTTTTCAAGAATGTTCCGGGTACCTGCATAAAGAACATTTATATACCTAACCCTGAATTGTACCCCACATCCTTAAAATAAAGAAAAAAAAGAATGTTCCAAAGTTTGGTGGGGGGAGTGTGGACAGGGATGAGTGTATGATATGGGGCAATGGGATTTTTCTAAGCATAGAAGACAGGGAGGCGCTTTTGTAAAGGTCTTGAGTTAAGAAGGATATGGGAATGTTTGAAGGATTTGGGAATGGACAGTATGGCTGGACCATAGATGACAAGGGCAAGTGGTATAAGAGGTGGTTGGAGGACTGGTCCATAGGCTGACGGTGCAGGATATATTGGCCACATATGAGACTTTGCCTTTCTTTACTGAAGGGCATTGAAAGGTTTTAAGCAGAGGTTTTTCTTGAGTTTTGCAGTTCTAAAAGACCTCATCAGCTAGTATGAAGGATGTAAGAGGTTTGTGGCAGTGAAGATGGAGAGGATGGTTGTTAAAATAGATGAGATACAAATATCCCTAATGGTCTCTTACAAGCATATTAATCCTTTAGGCAGAACCAGGATTAGCACATTTGGAGCTAACTTATAATTTTAAAAAAAATTTTAGACTGAGGGGGCACATGTGTAAGTTTGTTACATGGATATATTGCATGATGGTGAGGTTTGGGCTGAACTTGCTATCCAAATAGTGAGCATGGGACCCAGTAGGTAGTTTTTAAAAATAATTTCTTAAAAGCAGGAGAAAACTTTAGTTTTCCCAAGAACTAAAAAGTGCATTCCTTCAGAAATTGAATTCATGAGGTTTCTGTTTTGATTGTTAATAGAAATACTTTCTAATCATACAGAATTGTGTTTTAAAAACACAGGAGCTTCTTTGACTCTTGTATTCTTTTACTGATGCCTAACTTCTACTCTTATTCTGTGAACAGGACTGCTAGGCAATTTGCTTCTCTTTTTGTGAATATCAATGTGACCTCTGAGCCCCACGAGGTGTCTGCCTTGTGGTTCTTGTGGTATGTGAAACAATGTGGGGGCACCACCCGGATATTCTCAGTCACCAATGGCGGCCAGGTATGGCATGTCTGTTCTGAAACTATAACTTCATTTGTGATTTTGCCTTCCCCAGGGAAGTATCTTCAATAATTTCTTCAGTATTTTGAAATTAGCATTGTAAAATGATCTAAAAAAAGGTTTGGAAAAAAATATCATTTTCTTTTGTCATTCCTAAAAAGAATTTCACAGCTTAAGAATATTTCATTTAGAATTAATTTGGTTTCGAAAGTTAAGTTTCTTCCTTTTGGAGGTAGGTGAAATTAGACTGTTTATGTAGGAGAAGCTAAATTACTACAATAAATTAATTTCCAATAAACTCTAGAACTTGTACAATTTTTGTACTTGGAGTCATCTCTGTTCCAGACATAAGGTTTCTGTCCCATCTATTTCTCAGAGGTAATTCTTTTATGTTAACTGTGATAAAATGGAATGATTGTTCTTCCTTCGAATTCACACAAGGTATTACAACCCCTCTTTCAATAGTAAATTCTAACTTTTGGATTCTAGTTTTTGCTGTCTGCTTGCATTTGCCCAGCTGCCATGCCATTTCCTTTACTAATAAGTGAACTCATTTGGTTCACTGGCTGGACACAAGTAAACCAAAAGTGAAGCTAAAATCTTAATTCCCTGATTCCCCAGACTCTGAGATTCTTTGCTTCAAGGATTTCTGTTTTTTGGTTTTTGTTTTTTTTTTGAGTTGGAGTCTCACTGTCGCCCAGACTGGAGTGCAGTGGCTGCTCCCGGCCACCGCAGCCTCGACCTGCTGGGCTCAGGCGATCCTTCCGCCTCAGCCTTCCAAGAAGCTGGAGCTACAGGCTCACGCTACCATGCCCAGCTAATTTCTTTGATTTATTGCAGAGATGAGGTCTCGCCTGCCCAGGCGGGTCTCAAACCCGCGGGCTCAGGCAATCCACTCACCTCAGCCTCCCAAAGGCACAGGATTACAGGCTGAGTCTCCGAGCCCGGCTCAAGGCTTTCTTTTATCTGAAGAGAATGAATATCTCTTTTCTAGAAATGTTACACCTGGATGAGATGAGGTTTAATTAGTAGCAGTTTGCTTCTTACTTAGGCTTTCTGCATCCCAGAATTCTGAATGCATAGTACAAGGTGTAGAGTCTTTCTCTGTCAAATGAATTCTTCTTCTTAGGAAGTCACTAGAAGTCTTCAAGTTGTTCCTTGATATCAAGAGGTTTTGACCATTTGACCTTTAACTTGGGCAAACACAGGACAGTTGCATTTTTACTTTACTTACTGGCAGAAATCCCACTTTTTTCCTCTGAACCCATATTTTTTCTGGTATCTTGACTTATATTTGATAATTGTATCCTTCATTCAGAGGAACCAGGATACTTCTAGCCAAACTATACGTGACCTTTTGGAAAGGACAGTTCAGTTGATAAATCTCAAACAATTATTATAATGTCTTTATAAAGAACTTAGGTTTATCTTTTGATTTAGTTCAACAAATACTAGATCTGAAAGGGTAGACAGTGAACAAGACAGAGATAGCTCATGGTTTTTCTATCACACTAAAATTCAAAGTAACTCTTGGAAAACATAGGTCAGATTTTAAGTTAAATGAAATTGGTTTCTTGAGGAAGGACATTATCATGAATTAATACAATATCTGAACCACTGTGGGAATATTTTTATTAAAAACTTTGGTGGTGTCATTAAAACACTAGCCAGCCATAGAAGTGCAAAAGTCACTGTGTGGCTGCTTATGCAAAGTTTTCTGGAGGAACGTGATTGAAGAATGTAACTGTTGGATGGTGGGCTGTACATTTCTGACCATTCAAAGAATCTTCTACAATAGGCTAAAAATATTCCTCTGATTCTTAGCAAATGCATTGCGTTAAGGACTTACCATCTTAGATTAAGCTGCAACAATTTCCGGTGACCATAGCAAATGGCCATGAGTAGAGGTTGTGTAAGGGCTTCTTAAGAGAGCTCTATCTAAAGGAACAAGCAGATGCTTGTCCTTCACCTTTCTTCCTCTGCCTCAAAACTTCCAGATAGTTTTGCAAAAAACTACTCAAGCTCTGAGGTTCAGATTTTTAGGGCATCATTTGGTGGTGGGGTATGGCTATCTCTAAGAGCACTCTGAGCCTGTTCTCTTAGAGTGACATTGTCTATGCGCCATCTGCAACCTTACCTGCCTCGACAACCTGAGACCTGGACTAAGAGAATCAAGGGAAATTAGAAGCCATATCCCCTGGGATAAGTGCAGTGCCCTCCCCTTCCCAGGGCTTCCTTGATGTACCACACTCTTGGGCATTAGCAGCCCACAGAATTGATGATATTCTCATCTGGTCAGGGCAGCACTGGCATAGGGGAACGTTTCTTCTGGATTTGTGATTTTTATAACAGCTCTTCATTCTTGGAAGCTGTGCAGGGAATGATCATTGAGATGTCTTAATAGACTCTGCCTCTGTCCTGATGAGTTCTTCCAACAGTTACGTGTACAGAAGGTAGAAATTTAGCATGCGACTTTCTGGAGGTTTTCTAGTCAGTGGCAAATAAGTTTTCCATCCTTGGGCTTTTATAACATTTCCTTTCCTGCCTACCTTTTCCCATAGGAAAGGAAGTTTGTAGGTGGATCTGGTCAAGTGAGTGAACGGATAATGGGCCTCCTTGGGGACCGAGTAAAGCTGCAATGTCCTGTCACCTGTGTTGACCAGTCAAGTGAAAACATCATCGTAGAGACACTGAATCATGAACCTTATGAGGTAACCAAGTTTAATCAAAAGGAACACATAGTAAATAGGCCTTGTGTCTTCCATAGCTTCTAACCAGATAATGCTGACATGTTTCTGCCTCAGGCTTCCAAATTGCCAGCCTTGACTGACCTATCTTGCTCTGTTTTGTTGCCTCACAGTTGCCTCATTTTGTATATTTTTACTGCTCAATGCCATTTAAAAACGATAAAGATGATATTTCCCACCCTCTACAAAGACTGCAGCTCACTTTTGAGGTGATTTTGCTTGTGTGTGTTTTAGTGCAGATATGTAATTAGTGCCATCCCTCCAACTTTGACTGCCAAGATTCACTTCAGACCAGAGCTTCCATCAGAGAGAAACCAGTTAATTCAGCGTCTTCCAATGGGGGCTATCATTAAGTGCATGATGTATTACAAGGAGGCCTTCTGGAAGAAGAAGGGTAGGTTGCTCTTATTCATGCTTAAACTATATTATGTGAAGGAACTACACTCTTTTAGGAATATTGAACAGAATGCACTGAACAGAAGAAAGTATTTTCAAATTGGTAGAGAAAGGATCAGAAATCTTGGTCTATCAATTTCCTCATACTCCCTAGCAACACAGAATGCCCCCAGGAGCACTTGTTGGCAATGGGAGGAAAGAAAGATTACATCAGTCACAGTGCCATCTGGCTCCTGGCATTTGTCCTATCACTTACTATTCACAAGCAGAGTGAGGCCAATGGGCACCATGAAGAGAACGTTGCATTAAAATCTCATATTCCTGGACTTCACTTGCTTACTGACATCAGTCTGTAAGCCTAAAGTGGTTACAGTAATACATAGCAATACATCAAGGTGTTGTGAGGATTAAATGAGGCAGAGTCTGGGACTTAGAAGGTTGCCCAGTTATAGTGGCGACTGTTGATAAGCCTTCTGTGTATACCCACAAAATGCCTTTCTGCCACTTCTTCCACAGGTTGTTAGGAGTGATTCCCATCATAGCCCCCTTTTATTCCCATGTATTCCAGGATCCAAGGCCATCTTATCATTTTTGCCATGCATTGGTCAGTCACAGCCCTTTATGTAAAGGGGATAGAGATGGGTCATTTTCCTTGTGTGGGCAAATAGAGATCCTTACATGGTCAGTGTGTGTGTTTAATAAGAAATAGCTGCCGGGCTCGGTGGCTCAGCCTGTAATCCCGCGCTTTGGGAGGCTGAGGTGAGTGGATTGCCTGAGCTCGCGGGTTCGAGACCCACCTGGGCAACTTGGTGAGACCTCATCTCTACAATAAATAAAAAAATTAGGTGGGTGTGGTAGCGTGCGCCTGTAGTTCCAGCTACATGGAAGACTGAGGCGTAAGGATCACCGGAGCCCAGCAGGTCGAGGCTGCGGTGGCCGGGAGCGGCCACCACACTCCAGTCTGGGCGACAGAGTGAGACTCCATCTCAAAAAAAAAAAGAAAAAGAAATAGCTTCTAAGGTTGGGGCAAAGACCAAGTGTTTAAGATTTGCCTTCCTCTTAGAAAAATAGTTTATGTATGTTTTATGTGCTTGTGTGTCTCTGATAAGCTTGATCTCAATCTCTTACTGATTTTCACCTGGTTAAGATTACTGTGGCTGCATGATCATTGAGGATGAAGAAGCTCCAATTTCAATAACCTTGGATGACACCAAGCCAGATGGATCGCTGCCTGCCATCATGGGGTAAGTTATAGCTGGCCATTCTGCATTTTCCAAATTGTGTTGATATATTACTGTGGCTGCTGGAAAAGTATGTTGCTTTGGAATTGAGCTCAAGCAATGATAAATAATGCTACACAAATATGTCATGTTTCCATGTATTAAAATATTATAGTAATGTTTTGTGTGACATAAGAACATGGAGCTACTTTACTAAAATTGACACTGCTTTGAACTTGTGCCCATGTATGTATTTCTCCCATAAAGCTTACATATCAAGGACAGAGTGAAAAGAATAGCTAGACAGGCTGTGTGGTAGCCAGCCCTGCCTAGAGGCAGAATGTCCACAATCATTCTGGAATGAGAACTAACTGCTTTATCCTGTAAAAGTTTCCAAATGTAGAGTTTCTAGTCTTTATCCTTTTTTTCTATTCCAAACATCTTCTATATAGCAAATGTTTGTTCCTACCCTGAGATATAAGATGGCTGACCAATTAGGAGGTGTACTTCAAAATCAAATCAGGCCTTGCTTGAGTGAATGGCATGTCACCTTTTCTGGTCAATTACTCCATAATTATCATTCTCTAGCAGTGCTTCACTTACCCTCAGAGGTGTGCAGATGGTCTGGGGTATGGTTTTGTGTAGGCACACAGCTGCCCTGCCTGTTGGGGCTATGAGTCTAAGGAAGGAAGCAGGGTCTCCACAAAGGAATTGCTAAGGAGTGCCACAGCCTCCCAGTTTCCTGCCTTTTGGATCTCCTCAAAAACTATGCAAATAAAAAATTATTTATTCTACCACACTATAACAAAGAAAAACATAGCTTCAGTGGCAGCCAAGCAGCTTTTAGAGACCAGTGATTTCCCCTTCACTTCTGGGAAATTTGTGCTTCCTGCTTTAAGGGAAAGATGAGCCCATACATATCATGTCATTGAAGAAAATTACAAAGCCAAAAGGAGCAGATATATGTCGCAGGAGACTTAGAAAGCAGGCTGTGCTACTGGGTTGCTAACAAGATATTTTACAACCACTTCTCTGGTTGTAAAATATAAGAAATAGCACCAGCCTCCCTGAGAAGGGCAAGTGCTTACAACATAATGACCTTCCAAACAACATATCCTCATCATCTCTAACCCCATTGGACAAGAAAGGATACAGGTTGTTTGGACAGTTTGCCATCACTTTCTATATGCTAGAGAAAAGCGGGAGGTTAGGGTACCGGTTTAAGGAGAATGTTAGTTAAGATAATCCAACTATGGGTGGGAGAACATTGATCTTCTTGCTGTGGAAGTTAAATACAGTGAGATATGCCATTTTGCACTTTCTTCAGTTTTATTACTAACTGGGATGTGTATGGCAGGACCCTTTTAGATGTTAATAGGATTATTTAGGCAGTTCTTAGCAAGTGATATCCTAATCTGTTTTATATGCATAGTTGTCTCCACCCTGCTCTTTGCTCTTGGCCACAGCCACAAAAACCTTGAAGGTAGAGGTGGTAATTGCGCAACACTATGTTTATAATGACACCAGCCCTTTTTGGAAACTGGAAAGGACCTTGTACTTTAGAACTGTGGTTTGTGCTAACTATGGACAAATATCCTTTAACTTTCTTTGGTGTTTTATTAAGAAAATTAAGTATGCTGGATTTTTGTTTGGGAAGAAACAAAAAACCAGCATATTTAATTTCCTCAATATAATACCAAAGAAAGTTAAAGGATATTTGTTCATAGCACTAGATCAAAGAGGTTATTTCATTCACAACTTGAGATTTGACAGAAATAGTCTACACTAAATCTAAATGCCCTTTGGGAAAGGAACTGTAAAAAAGCATCCAAGATAAGCTGACTAAAAAGGTTTTCAGATAAATCATTTAATCTTTCATCAGACATTGGTGATTTTCTTTGAAATGCCGTGGAAGTCTAAATGTACTGATTCTTGCATAAACCCCAAATTTAACTAAAATCATCAATAGTGAACTATATATAACTTACAGTAGTAAATCAAGCAAAATTATGACTATATCCCATAAAGTTCAATAGTTCAAATTTCTTAAATAGTCCACAGCTTCCTCTAAAATGCTAGTCTCAGGATTAACATATTTTGTATCTTTGCTTCCCAGAAGGATCTCAATAGCCCTAAAGGAATTGCCTATCGAATTTGAGGAACATTTTAATCTGGGGCTTAGGAGAGGAGGAAATACCTGTTTTCAGTATTGATCTGCTTATCTTATTGGTCTAGAATGAAAGAAATACAATTTTAAAACTTTTTAAATGGAAAAATAATTTCATTGTCCTTTGGTTCATTTGGATATTTGAAGGCTTTCTTTTTTTGTTGTTGTTTAATAAAGTGAGAAAGCAGGATTTATTGAGAGGACAGAAAACTTCCCACAGTGGGAGGGGACCCGAAGGGGTTGCCCCTGAAGGCTTTCTAATAACAGTATAACTAAGGACTTCATGTCACAATTCAATTCGCTAATGTATACATGCAGTTAGTAATAGCAGTACAATAAATAGAATCTATTTGATTAAAGGGAAGCAAACAGGTTATAACTGAGTTTTATTGAGTTACTTTATTTGGGGACTGTGTTAGGTCAGCTTCCAGGGAAGTCAACTAAGAAATGGAGATTTGGGTGCAGGAGGTTTATTGGGACGTGCTCTGGGAATTACTACCTATGGGAGAAGGGAAGGAATTAGGGTCGGGCAGAGGAAGAAGTTGGGCTTCAATGTTGTCCCGACAAAGGCCTCAACCACTCCCTAGGAAGCTCTGGAACTGGGATACCCCTTCAGTTTTGCCCTGAACTGAGCCTAGGTCAGGATAACTCTAAGAAGAGGTAGATCCTTGAGTGAGGCATTTTTTGCTGCCCAGTGCAATTACTGGGAAAGGTTTCAGCTGTGAGATAAGGGCAATGAGTACCAGCTTCTAAAAGAAGGTCTGTGGGGCCCATCATGGAATCCTACAGATACATATAAGGAGGGACTCCCCCGAAAAACAAGAATTTATTTATAAAAAATTGTGTATTCTTGCATGTTTAAATTTTAGTTACCTTCAAAGTACTCTGATGCTTTATACCTCAAGATGTTTTTTCCACTGCTCAAAACAGTTTTTGAGCTTGTCAATTTTGATGACTTTTAGTGCTGCTTTTGTTTTTGGCTTCTTCTCTTCCACACTGGCAAAACACTTCGGCAAAACACTTTGGGAAAACCAAAAAAAAAGTTGACTTGGGGCAGGGTTGAGTGAATAGGGAGGGTGGGGCATGGGAGTCATGCCAGTTTTGCTCAAAAACTGCTGAACACTCAGGGCAATGTGGGCAGGTGTGTTGTCGTGGTGGAAGAACCCCAGTCACCTATTTGCCACAACTCAGGACGTTTCTTCTGCAAATTGTGACGTAACTTTCTCAAAATTTCCAGGTGAAAACTTTGGTTGATCATTTGATCCAGAGGAACACATTTTGAGTGTACTGCAAGGGGCCTACCCTTCAAAAGATAATTCCAGGATTTTGGGGTGCCCCTCATATTTATATTTGTTTTTCCAGCTTTTATTAAGTATTTGGCAGAAAGCAGCCATCATTACCAGAATAATGATTTATAGCATTAATTCATCCAGCATTTGATTTCCTACCATATGACAGGGGACCCCAAAAAACCTAAGAATTATCTTTTGGAGGGCAGGCCCCTTGTAGTACACTCAGAATTTGTTCCTCCAGATCAAATGGTCAACCAAAGTTTTTAATCTGGAAGTTTTGAGAAGGTTGTGTCACAGTTTGCAGGAGAAACATCCCAAGTTGTGGCAAACAGGTGACTCGTTGGTTCTTCCTCTGTAACAATGTATCTGCCCACACCACGCTGAGTGTTCAGTAGTTTTTTACCAAAACCAGCATGACCCTTGCGCCTCACCCTCTCTATTCACCCAATCTCACCCTGAGTGACTTTTTTTGTTTCCCCGGATGAAAAAAGTCCTCAAAGGGAAATGTTTTGCTGATGTGAAAAAGGTGATGGCAGAAGCACTAACAGGCATCAAATTGATGAATCCAACAACTATTTTGAGCCGTGGAAAAAGTGTCTCGATAGGTGTATTGCATCAAATGGAGAGCACTTTGAAGGTGATTGAAGTTTAAACGTGTAAGAATAAATACACAGTTTTTTAATAAATAAATTCTAGGTTTTGGGGGTCCCCCATCATATACCAAAAACTGTGTTAAACTTTAGGAGTAAAATATTGAATTTAGGAGCGCATAGCTAGCAAGGGTTTTGGACAAAAGGCAGACCAAATACAACATGGCATTTGTTCTAGTAGAGTGAAAGGAAGAGTTCATTAGAAGGGTTCACTAATGCTGAGTAGGTAGAGATAAGAATACTTCAAAAAGAAGTGGCAACTCTTAAGATAAATGACTGTAACCTGCTCATTCAAATATAACCTCTCTTTCCAGTTTCATCCTTGCCCGAAAAGCTGATAGACTTGCCAAGCTCCATAAAGAAATAAGGTAAGAATTTATGTCTGAAAAACAAATAAAAAGTTAGCTTTATTTATTTATTTATTTTTTGAGTTGGAGTCTCACTCTGTCACCCATTTATATTGTGTTTTTGCACTGACAATAGTACATTAGCATAGGGAAGAATGTAATACTTCACAAATATTTTCAAAATCCCGAGAAACCACCCATTTTGTATTTTGCTATAGCCCCCTCAACCCAGCCCTTGCCCATATGCATATATAAATTTAATTTTACATATGTATGTTTATTTTACAGTGGTTAAGAGCTAGGGTTTCCCTCTAAGATGGATGGAGAAAAATCACAGAAAGCATTCACTGAAAAACACTGTAGAAATCAAATATTGATCCCTTTGCAAAGCATTATTCCTTTCCTAAGTTTCTCTGACACGGACATTCTTTTTTTCTATTTTTATTTTGGGTTCAGGGGTACATATGCATATTCATTACATGGACGTATTGCATAGTGGGGATTGGATCTCAGGTAACCCATTCCCCAGATAGTAAACATTGTACCTCGTAGGTAATTTCTGAACTCTAACTTTCTCTAAAAAGCAAGCCCATCCATATGTGTTTTAACCTGTAGTAACTCGTGTACATGAAAGTATTCACCACTGATTATCTGGGACACAGTTCTGATGTCCCCTTCTTCTGAAAGTTTCCCAATATAAAACAGTTATTTTAGGACAGTGGCGTTTTCATCTTTCTTTTCTCTTTTCTATCATTCTGACACATTTTGTTTTATCTTGGAATCCTTTGTTCAAATAAAATCTTAGCTGGAAAGGTAAGTATTTTAACATCAGTGTCCTTTGGCTGTTGAGGTGATACCTGTGGGAATTTCCAGACTGCCCTTTAGGGTAGCCCTAGATCCTTAACTGGCTTTTACAGAGGTCCAGTACACACGCAAATGCAGACTTCTCTCTGAATTTAATTTAAAAATTAAACAGCTAACCCATTATCAGCCTTTACTTTGGGAGTTACTCTGATTACTTTAGAAGTCAGGGAAAGGTTGCAGAATGAGATTCCACATGTGTACATGGATCTGTTTATTTGAACAACCGTGAGATTTGATGTCAGGAACAGAACTATTTTCATGTCCACCTACTCACTCAATAGAGAAGGAATGTGTGGTCTATCTGATTACTTTAGAAGTCAGGGAAAGGTTGCAGAATGAGATTCCACATGTGTACATGGATCTGTTTATTTGAACAACCGTGAGATTTGATGTCAGGAACAGAACTATTTTCATGTCCACCTACTCACTCAATAGAGAAGGAATGTGTGGTCTAGTGTTTTAGTCCATTTGTGATACTATAGCAAACTACCTGAGACCGGAGAAATTTATTAAAAAAAAAAAACAGAAGTGTATTGCTCACAGTTCTAGAGACTGGAAGTCTAAGATCACAGCACCAGCAGATTCAGTGTCTAATGAGGGCCTGTACCATGGATAACATTTTTTGATGGTGCCCTCATGGTGAAAAAGATGGAAGAGAAAAGGACAAAAAGAGATGAACACTGTGTCCTTACATGGCAAAAGGGCTAGTTCTCTTTAGCATTTTATAAGGACACTAATCCCATCCATGAGAACAGTGCCTTCATGACTTAATCACTTTCCAAAAAGCCCCATCTCTTTTTTGTCAATTTCTTTTTCTTGTTATTAATATTATTATATTCAAGGGATACATATGCAGGTTTGTTACATAGGTATATTGTGTGATGGTGAGGTTTGGGTTTCTATTGAGCCCATCACCCAGGTGGTAGACATGGTACCCAGTGAGAGGTTGTTTATCACTTATTCTGCTCCCTCCCTTTCCCCTTTAGGAGTGCCCCAGCATCTGTTGTTCCCATCCTTGTGCCCATGTGTATTCAGCGTTTAGGTCCCACTTATTAGGGAGAACATGTGATATTCAGTTTTCTGTTTCTGCGATAACTCACTTAGGATGATGGTCTCTAGCTGTATCCATATTGCTGCAAAGGACATGATTCTGTTCTTTTTATGGCTGCATAGTATTCCATAGTGTATATGTACCACATTTGCCTTATCCAGTTCACTGTTAATGGACACCTAGTTTGGTTCCATGTTTTTGCCCTTGTGGTTTGTGATGCAATAAATGTGTGAGTGCAGGGGTCATTTTGGTAGAGTGATTTGTGTTTCTTTGGATATATAACCAGTAGTGGGATTGCTGGGTCAAATGGTAAGTCTATTTTTAGTTCATTGAGAAGTCTCCAAACTGCTTTCCACAGGATTTGAACTAGCTTGTATTCCCACCAATAGTATATGAGAGTTCTCTTTTCTTCACACTCTCGCCAAAATCTGTTGTTTTTTTACTTTTTAAAAAACCTGACTGATGTGAGATTGTATCTCATTATGGTTTTGATTTGCATTTTTCTGGTGATTAGTGATGTTGAACATGTTTTCACCTGTTTGTTGGCCACTTGTATGTCTTCCTTTGAGAAGTATCTGTTCATGTCCTTTGCCCACGTTTTAATGTCTTTTTCCCCTGTCAATTTGTTTCTGTTCTTTGTAGATTCTGTATATTAGTTTTTTGTCAAATGCATAGTTTGCAAATATTTTCTCCCATTGTTTAGGTTGTCTGTTAACTCAGTTCATAGTTTCTTCTGCTGTGTAGAAACTCTTTAGTTTGATTAGGTTCCACTTGTCAATTTTGGTTTTTGCTGCTTCGGCTTTTGAGGTTTTGGTCCTGAACTTATTGCCTAGGCTGGTGTTTCCTATGCTTTTTTAGACTTTTTATAGTTTGAGGTCTTATGTTTAAGTTGCTAATTCATCTTGAATTAATTTTTGAATATGACAAGAGGGGGGTCCAGCTTCATTCTTCTGCATATGGTTAGCCAGTTTCTTCAGCACCATTTATTAAATAGGATGTGTTTCCCCCAGTGTTTGTGTGTGTTGTCTTTGTCAAAGATGAGATGGTTGTAAGATTTACTTCTGGGTTCTCAGTTCTGTTCCATTGGTCTATGTGTACCAGTGCCAGTACCATGCTGCTTGGTTACTGTAGCCTTGTAGTAAATTTGAAGTCTGACAATGTGATGCCTCCAGCTTTGTTCTTTTTGCTTAGGATTGCTTTGGCTATTTGAGATCGTTTTTTGCTTCCATATGAATTTAAGTATTGTTTTTTCTAGATCTGTGAGAAATGATGCTGGTGATTTGATAGGACTGTGTTGAATCTGAAGATTGCCTTAGGCAATATTGACATTTTAACAATATTGATTCTTTCAATCTATGAGCATGGAATATTTTTCCATTTGTGTCATCTTTTCTTTCTTTCAGCAGTGTTTTGTAGTTCATGTTGTGAGGTATTTTACCTCTTTGGTTAGATGTATTCCTTGGTATTTTACTTTCTTGGCTATTGTAAATGGGATTGTGGTCTTGATTTGGTTCTCAGCTTGAACAGTGTGGTGTATAGAAATGCAAGTGATTTGTGAGCATTGATTTTGTAACCTGAGACTTCATTGAAGTTGCTTTGAGTGCCGGGAGTCTTTTGATGGAATCTTTAGGGTTTTTTGTTTTTTGTTTTTAGGTATAGAAGCATATCATCTGTGAAGAGAGATAATTTAACTTTTCCTATTTGGATACCTTTTCTTTCTTTCTTTTGCCTGAACACTCTGGCTAGGACTTCCAGTACTATGTTGAATGGGATTGGGGAGTGTACATATCCTTGTCTTGTTCCAGGTCCTAAGGGGAATGTTTCCAACTTCTGCCCATTAAATATGATGTTGGCTTTGGGTTTGTCATAGATGGCTCTTATTATTTTGAGGAATGTTCCTTCGGTGCCTAGTTGGTTGAAAGCTTTTATCATGAAGGGATGTTGGATTTTATCAAATGCTTTTTCTGTGTCTATTGAGATAACCATGTGGTCCTTGTTTCATTTCTGTTTATTCAGTGAATTACATTTATTGATTTGCATATGTTGAACCAGGCTTGCATCCCAGAAATAAATCCCACCAGATCATTATGGTTATTTTTTTTTTTTTTATGTACTACTGGATACAGTTCACTAGGATTTTGTTGAAGATTTTTGCAACCATGTTCATTAGATAAATTAGCCTATAGTTATTTCTTCTTTTCTTTGTTGTGTCTTTGTCATTTTTTGGTATTGGGATGATGTTGGCTTCATAGAATGAGTTAGGGAGGAAGTCCCTCCTTCTCAATTGTTTGGAATAATTTTAGTAGTTTTGTTATGATCTCTTCCTTGTACTTATATGCCTGGTAGAATTTAGCTGTAAAACCATCAAGTTCCTGGACTTTTTGTGGTGAGTAAGATTTTTATTACTGATTTGATTTTGTGGCTCATTATTGCTGTGTTTCAGATTTTAATTTCTTCCTCAATTATCTTTTTAAAGCTGTTAGTGGAGTGTTGAAGTCTCCCATTATTATTGTGTGGGTGTCTGTGTTCTCTTTCAGGTTAAGTAGCAATTGTATTTTATAAATCTGGGTGCTCCTATGTTGGGTGTGTATATATTTAAAGTAGATAGTTCTTGTTGCTGAATTGAGCCCTTTATTATTATGCATTTGGCTTTATTGTCCTCTTCTACTTTTATTGTCTTAAAGTTTATTTTAGCTGATAAAAGAATAGTAACCCCTGCTCATTTCTGGTTTTCATTTGCATGGTAGATCTTTCTCCATCCCTTTACCATGAACCCATAGGTGTCATTAGAGATGAGGTAAGTCTCCTGAAGACAGCAAAAGAATTTTTTTTTAAATCCAGTTTGCCACTCTGTGTCTTTTAAATGTGGGGCATTAGTGCCATTAACATTCAGGTTTACTATAGATATGTGAAAGTTTGTTCCTATCATGGTATTGTTGAGGAGTTGCTTAGTAGTCTAAGTTTGGTGGGTGATTTATATAGTCTGTAAGCTGTGTGGTTACTTTTGCTTTTGTGCTGGATAACATCTTTCTTTTGTTTTGGTATTTAGAACTCCATTGAGCGTCTCTTGCAAATCTGGTCTAGAAGTGACAAAATTCCTTAGTGT